TAAAAAAAATAAAAATTAAAAAAAATAAAAAGGAACAAGGAAGAGGAAACATATCCTCTTCCCAAGATAAGAAAAGCTCTTGAACATTAGTTCTTCCCAAATTAACTTATAAATTCAGTATCACCTGAATAAAAATCCTAAATAGGTTTTTGATAGAGTTGTTTTATTGTGGTAAAATACACACACATGACATGAAATTTACCATCTTAACCACTTCTAAGTGCACAGCTCAGTGGCGTTAAGCACACTCACACTGTTGTGCAACCACCCCCACCCTCCATCTCCAGAACTTTCCATCTCCCCACACGGGGACTCTGTCCCCACGAAGCACCGACTCCCCACCCCCTGCCCCAGCCCCGGCTCCCACCCTCTTCTCTCTGTCTCTGTGGACAGGACTCCTCTGGGGACCTCCTGGGAGTGGAATCCTAGGTTTTAGGGGGTTTTTTTTCCAATTTCTTTATTTTGAAATAATTTTAGATTTACAGATGAATTACAATGATAGTACAGGGAGTTCTGTCTACCCTTTACTCAGCTTCCTCTCATGTTAACATCTGACATTACTGTCACACGCTTGTCAAAAAGAGGAAAGGAATATTGGTGTAATACTATTAATGAAACATTCGGCTTCATTTATATTTCACGTTTTCCCACTGATGTCCTTTTTCTGTCGCCGGATGGCATCCGGGATCCCACGTGGCATTTAGGTGTTGTGTTAGCTCCCCAGGACTGCTGTGACAAAGGACCACAGACGGGGCGGCTTGCACACCAGAAATGTATTGTCTCACACCTCAGGAGGCTGGCAGTCTGAGATCAAGCTGTCGGCAGATTTAGTTCCTTCTGAGGTGTGTCTCCTGGGCGTGTGGACACCGTGTCCTCCCCACGTCCTCTCAGGGTCGTCCCTCTGTGCACGTCTGTGTCCTCCCTTCCTCTTCTTATAAGGACACCAGTCCGCCCTAATGACCACACCAATGACCTCATTTTAACTTAAGCACCTCTATAAAGAGTATCTCCAAATTCAGTCATATTCTGAGGTCCTGGGGGTTAGGACTCCAACGTAGGAATTAAGTGGGAGATACAATTCAGCTGCCAAGTCTCCTTAAGGTCCCCCAAACTCTGGCAGATTCCTGGTCTTTTCTTGTCTTTCATGCTCTTGGTAGTTGTGAATAGTAGCTGTCGCTATCAGGCACTGTTTGGGGTTTTCTGCGGTTTTCTTTTAAAGATTTATTTATTCAGAAGCGGGGGAAATCGGAGGGGTGGACGAACCATGAGAGAAGATGGACTCTGAAAAGCAAACTGAGGGCTAGAGGGGAGGGGGGTGGGAGGATGGGTTGGCCTGGTGGTGGGTATTGAGGAGGGCACGTTCTGCATGGAGCACTGGGTGTTATGCACAAACAATGAATCATGGAACACTTCATCTAGAACTAATGATGTAATGTATGGGGATTAACATAAGAATAAAAAAAAAAGATTTATTTATTCATTTGAGAGAGAGACAGAGACAGAGAGAGCGAGCAGGGGGAGTGGCAGGGGGAGAGGAAGACAAACAGACTCCCTGCTGAACCAGGAGCCTGAAGCGGGGCTCGATCCCAGGACCCTGAAATCACACCCTGAGCCGAGATTAAGAGTCAGATGCTCAACCGAAAGAGCCACCCAGGTGCCCCTCTGCTGTTTCCTTATGATTCGGTTGACGTGATAGATTTGAAGAGAAGAATACCGCAAAGGAGAAATGCTCTTCTCGCCACATCAATTCAGAGAGGAGGGCACATGGCATGCACATGATCATCGCTGGCAATGTGGTGAAGGGCAACCTGGGTCAAGGTGGCAGCCGCCGAGTTCCTCCGCTCTAGAGTCACCATCTTTCCCTTTCCATATTCTATTCCTTGCCTTATCAATAAGGGCGACATTGCCCCAAGGGGGCAAAAAACAAAACCAAAAAATCTTAGGTGTTATGATGCCTTGTGCCTGCCTTAGTTCAGCCTTACCCAACAAAATCGTACTCCTTGACATTTGGTATGAGGGGACAAGGAGGGAAAATATTTAAAAGACTACTGAGGAGGGGACAATTTAAAAAAAGAAAGTTAATAAACACTGCTCTATTCCTATGAGGTGAGTCACAAAGTCGGCCCCACTCAGGGGGCAGGGGTGGGGGGCCGGGGAAGAGAATTAATTCCCTCTTCCCACAGGAAGCGCTGTTAAAAATGTGTGAACATGCGTTAACACCACCGCGGTAATTAATAACTATTTTTCAGGGGGAGACAACACAAGTTTGAGGCTGTGCAAATATGCTGTTTCTCTCGTTAAAGTCACACGTGTTCATGTAAGCATCCGTCTGTGGGGCTTGCCTGCAGTGATTATTACCATGGCATTCTACGGAGATCTCCTACTTCCTTCACTCCTTCTACACTAATTAATTGGAATCACTCTGTGAGGAAAACCACGTACGTGCACAGCTGCTCCTGTTAACCAACATTCTGTGCCAAAGGGGAATCTTTGTCACAATCGATGAACCCACACTGACTCGTCATGATCACCCAGGGTCCACAGCTGAAACCAGGGTTCTCTCCGTCCTGAACACTCCCTGGGTGTGGACAGATGGCTCATGACGTGCATCCAGCAGTAGAGTATCATACAGAGTAGTTTCACTGCCTTAAAAATCCTCTATGTTTTGCCTATTCACTCAAATGCGGAATTTAAGAAAGAAAACGGATGAACACAGGGGAAAGGGAAAAAAAAGAGAGAGAGGGAAGCAAACCATAAGAGGCTCTTTTTTTTTTTTTTTTTAATGTAAGCTCCATGCCCAAGATGGAGTCCAGTGAGGGGCCTGAACTCACGACCCTGAGATCAAGACCTGAAGTGAGACCAAGTGTCAGACGCTTAACCGACTAAGCCATTCAGGTGCCCCCATAAGAGACTCGTCCTGATAGAGAACAAACTGAGGGTTCCTGGAGGGGTGATGGGCATTAAAGAGGGCACTTGAGATGAGTCCTGGGTGTTGTATGTAAGTGATGAATCACTAAATTCTACACCTGAAACCAATTTTACCATATATGTTAACTAACTAGAATTTAAATAAAAACTTGAAATAAAATAGTGCCACACAACAACAAAACAAATAAATTTTTAAACATTTTATTGAAGGATCGCCAAACAGACATCAAAACAAGCTTGCCAAGGGAATTATTTGAGTTATAATACGTTACAACTAGGGAGCGTAACACTTTGGGCTCCAAGGATGGGAACAGACGAAGCTAACGTTTTCACTGTACGGACGGTTATGTTTTGGTTCCGTGTCGTGCATTACTCATTCAAAACCATGTAAACATTAAAAATTCAAAGCCATGGTAATGTAAAAAAAAAGAATCATGTTAAGAAGAATAACAAAGAACACTTTTGATGGAGAAGAAGAATGCCTGGAAGATGTTGGTTTCCCCAGAAGCAGAGACTGAGACAAGGATTTGGTTATAAGTGGTTTATCAGGGAGAAATCGCCTGTTGAAAGCGTGGGAAGGTGGGACAGGGAAAGGAGGAGGCCAGTACGGGGCGGGCACTGATGAGGAGGGGGCTTATGTGGGCAACTGGGGCTGAAGCCCATTAGGGGCGTCTGGGAGATGATCTAGAACACACCTCCGAGTGATCCCGTCGGTTGCAAGTTGGTTTTCCTGGGAAGCTGACCCAGGAATATAGCACGAAGTTTGTTTATTTATCACAAGAAATATATATATGGCACAGAGCTCCTAAAACCCTTGGAATTTCCAAAGTGATGAGAGGATAAAGGTGTCTTATGTTAATGAGGTGACTTTTGGAAAGCCCTCAGGTCACCTAAGGTGGGGGTGGTCCCGGTTTCCAGTGGAGCCAAGCATGTGATAAGAGGGTTGAAACTTTCATTCCCAGCCCCTGGCATCTGAGGAGGGGAGAAGGACTGCAGGTTGAATCATTCGCCAATGGCCAATGATTTAATCAACCACAATTGATTGATTAACTGAGTCTAATGAAGCCTCCATAAAAATCCAAAAGGACAGCGTTCTGAGAGCTTCCAGGTTGGTGGGCACCTGGAGGGGAGGGGTGCCTGGAGAGAATGGAAGCCCCCTGCCCCTTCCCCATACCCTGCCCTACGCACCCCTTCCATCTAGCTGTTGCTGAACTGTATCCTTTTATAATAAACCGTCTCGGTTTATTAGTAAACTTCCGATCTATGATCTGTAGCCAGTTGGTTGGAAGCACAGCGGACATCCTGGACTTGAGGTCGGTGTTGGAAGTGGGGAGGCAGTCCTGTAGGACCAAACCCTTAACCTGTGGGGTCTGGCACTAACTCCAGGTAGGACACCCAGCCGATGTCAGAGAACTGCTTGAATGTGTGAGGAACCACCCCCCCACACACACCCTACGCTGGAATTGGGTGCAGACTCATTTTATTTATGAGGAAGCATCCTTGGGAGCAGCATCTGTGGAAGGGAGGGGAAGTGTGTGTCATATTTTTACACCAGGCAGTTCTCCAATTCCGACACCCTCTACCAGCTGCAAGTGGGGTGCCCAGGCTACCCCCACTTCTGCCTGGCTGACTCCAAATTTGGGGGTTCCCATAACCCCCTCTCAGGTTTAGGTCATTTGTTATAATGGCTCACAGAACTCAGAACACTTTTTTACATTCGGAACTGGGGACAAAGACCAGATGTCTTTTTTTTATTATACCACAGGAAGGAAGCAGAAATGCACAGAGGGAGAAGTTGAGCCAAGCAGGTCTGACAACAGCCTCGGCTGACTCCACCCACAGGAGATCTGAAACCAGAATGGGCTCCACGTTTGAGCCAACATGGCCAGACTTTTGTCCCCCTGCAGCGGTGTGAGCTGTGCCATGAAGGGGCATGACTTCAAGTGAGGCAGCTCTCTGCAGCGGGTCTATCCCCAGGGTGTTGAGAGGCCAGTCTGCCGACAAACCTCCAAGCAGCTGCGGCAGCATGTCTTTCCTTGAAAGGGCATCTGGGTGGCCCACCCCCAGGGTCTACCATGTCACCGAGGGAGGAGGGAGCTGGGGTACCTATACGCCAATTCATAACGGTCATTGCTCATCGGCATTCATTCCCTGGTCCTTCGGGATGAGCTCCAGCAACCAGAAAAGGCCCTCCATCAAGGGTGCAGGTAATGGCAGGTGGACGTTGAGGGAATGGAAGGTGTGCAAGGATGTGATAAAGCTCCAGGGTACGTGGCAGTTACATAAAGCCATCCAAACTGTGATCTTGGCAAGGAAGAGAGTAGATCAATGGAACAAACGAGCCCTGATTGTATCCCATACCTGGTCACTTTATTAAGCTCCAAAGAGCAGGGTGCCCAGAACTACATCCTCCAAGCCAAGGGAAACCTCATGCCATCACAGGAAGGACAGAACTGAACTCACAAGGGATGAGGAATATGAGGGGGAAGAGTCCTGGAGCTCTGTCAAGATCTCCACACCCGCAGACCGGGGGAAGGAACTCTGGCGTAAACATGGGTGAGGTTCTGCAGAACCAACAGAGGTGGGGTTGGGGCTACGGAGTCAAGGACAGAGACCAGCCTTTAGCCACTGGAACAGATGGCTGGGGGCTTTTTGCCAAAATCACATTTGGAGCAACCCCTAAGTTCCCCTGTCTTCCCACCCACTGCTGTCCGGTTCTCCTTCGTTCCAATACTTCACAAAGCCTCAAAGCCCGTCCAGGACATGAGCCCACATCCCAGACCCGTCGTGTCAATCAAGCTTCTGTTAACTTGATGCTTTCGCACCTGCCCTGCATGCACGATGATGTGCCTGAGTCACCTTGAGGGGGGCTCCTGCCAACCTTGTGCCCCTCCAATTCTGGGAGGAGTCCTCCTCCCTGGGGCATGCGTTTCAAATACACACCAACCAATCCAGAGCCCACACCCCCAACCACCTCCCTTCTCAGGCTCCCACCCTCAGGGCTACCATTCCCCTGCCCCAATCACCCCAGGGCCAGGTACCAGACAATGAGAGCCTGCTGAAATTACTCACACCGGCTAATCCCGAGCCTGCGTACCCTGCCTTGCCCATGCCTCCCTGGGAAAACCTCAATAAAGGCTCCTGCCCACAGTCCCCTGCCAACTGCCTCCTGAGAGGCCTTGGTGCTTCCCGATGTAACCCTCTGTGAAACGTTGGGTGTGCCTCTCTTGGGATCTACGACTATAACAACTATCTTTTCAATGCCAATCTGATCTACTGGCCTTACTATGCCCCAGAAATTCTATTAAAGACTATATTTTAAAGCATGCACCTGGACCGCAAGCTCTTCCTTCTTGCAGCTCTGATGGTGGAATTTGGGGGCACCTGCCATCTTATCCAAACACGGGTATGTGAACACCACCTTCCTCAACTCAGGAAAAATCCCAGACTCTTCCCCCTAAGGGCCAGGGATTGGGGGGAGGATCCCCAGGTAGAGCTCAGGTCAGGGTTTCAGAGCCCCACCCCCCACCTGATAAGAGTGTTTCCTTCTCCCAAGACTCACCTGGGCAGGAAGGGTGACTCGTCCTCCCCATGACTTGTCTTCGAGTTCCACGTCTGAGAGCCCCCTGCAGGTGAAGCGGTTTCTCTTGGAAGTCTGCAGCTGTAGGACGCCCTGGTGGATGTAGGGAAGTCAGGACGGGGCTCTGAACAACCCCCCCACTCCCCCCTCTGCTTTCCAGGCTCAGCATCTTCCCAGTCTCTCGCAGGTTACACCTTCTGGAATGCCGGGTCCTGAGCGCCTCTCCCATGTGCATCCTCTGAGCTGTACGTTCCGACTTGCAGACTCAGGCACACAACGGGTCCCTCATCACACGCACTCGGTAATACTGCGTGTTTATGTGTTTTACATGTGCTAAGCACGTGCCCATGAACTTACTCATGCCTACGTTTAAAGTGCTGGAACCAAATCAAGCCAGTTCCTGAGAGCTTGCCCCCGTGTGTCTCTTTTAAGCTCCGAGTTGAAGGGCATCGTGTTAATGGCTTGAAATCAGCCACAGTGATAGGATGTACACCAGGGAAACACGAACACTTCAAGTCTGGACTTATTTCCCCTCTCCCTCCAGAGAGCTAGTTGTTAAATATTTGCCAGCACACTGAGGAGGCTTATTTATGTGTTATGTGTTCAGATCTCGTCTGTGTCTCCTTGCAGGATGCCTGATTCATATCATCCTTCTCCCCACCCTTCCAAGTGGAGCCAGCAGCCTCTCATCCAGAAAATCCCCTCTGGCTGTCTTGTTCCCAGTTGGCCAGTGGCCAGGTGCATGTCCCGGATCAGGCAGGCTCACTGGACAGGTGTACTTGCTCCTCGGCACTTTCAGTGATGACGAGCTGGGTCCCCATTTCCTGGCAGCAGGGACGGAGTTGTGGCAGTTCTGTTGGGAGTTGGAGAAGGAGGAACGGTTTCTCTGGAAGAACGTCCATCCCCCAGGGACGGGGCAGCACAGGCCGGCTCTTGGGGCAGGTGCGGCAGGGCTGGGACTCAGCCTAAGATGCCCCAGACCCTGGGTCTGCCCACTCTTCAATCCCTTGAGAGTTGGGGGTCCTTCCTTCATTCTGCACTTCCCACTTCCCACCCTCCCCCCAGGCCCAGGGGAACTCAGGAGTCCCGGCCCCATCTCCTCTGGACTGGGAGAAGCAGGGAACCCAGAACAAGGGACTGGCTTAATTTAGTGCCTACTGTGGCCTGGCCCCCTGGGATTGCCAGTCACCCAGTCCAGCCTTCAGCTAGGTCAGTTCTTGCTGGATCTCCTGCTTCCAAGCCTCCAGCCCCTGGGACCTGGTACTCTGGAGACTGTGCCAAGAAAGAAAAAAAAAGAAACTGCAGTTATTAAACACCTGCTGTGTGCTTTGCCCTGCACTGGGCCCTCAGGGACATTGTTTCTCAGTCAGGAGCTGCACCATGGCCCCGGGGTTGGGGTTGGTATCCACTAAGCATTTCATAGGTGATTGAATTGCACAATATGAGAGACACCACAGATAGCTATTTATTTTGTTATCATTGTTAAAAATTTTTTTCCAGGGATGCCTGTGTGGTGCAGTCAAGCATCCAACTCTTGGTTTCGGCTCATGTCATGATCTCAGGGTCGTGAGATCAAGCCCTGCGTCCTGCTCCACACTCAGCAGGGAGTTTGCTTGAGATTCTCTCCCTCCGCCCCTCCCCCGCCCCAGCTCTTGCACTCTCCCTCTCTAAAAAATAAATAAATCTTTGAAAAAAGTTTTTTCCAGTTTCATTGAGCTATAATTGACACATAACATTGCCTCACTTTTAGGTGTACAACATAATGATTCAATGTATGTATATATTGCAAAATGATCACCACAATCAATCTAGCTCCATAGTTAACATAGTTACTCATTTTTTTCTCATGATGAGAATTTTGAAGATGTGCTCTCTTATGAATGTCTTGTAGGGTTCCAACTTCTCCACATCCTTGACAATACTTGCTACTATCTTTTTTATTCTAGCCATTCTAGTGGGTGTAAAGGGATATCTCATCGTGGTTTTCATTTGCATGTCTCTGGGGGGGCACTTATTAAAAATGCAGATTCTGAAAAAATGCAGATTTTTTTCTTTCAAGATTTTATTTAAATTCAAGTTAGTTCACATATAGTGTAGTATTAATTTCAGAGGTAGAATTTAGTGATTCATCAGTTGCATATAATACCCAGTGCTCATTACATAACATGCCTTCCTTAATGTCCATCACCCAGTTACCCCATCTCCCCACCCACCTCCCCTCCAGCAACCCTCAGTTTTTTCCCCTAGAGTTAAGAATCTGTTATGTTTGGGGGCACCTGGGTGGCTCAGTCGTTAAGCGTCTGCCTTCGGCTCAGGTCATGGTCCCAGGGTCCTGGGATCGAGCCCCGCATCAGGCTCCCTGCT